TTAACCACAAGTACTCAGATGAAAATTTCAGAAAACATATATGCAAAATTCTAAGACTTCGAATTATGGAGAAACTATCACTGTCTACAGTCAGTACTTCCTGACATTATTTACTTTAGGACAAATACGTGTTTTTAATTTGAATTCCATCAAAACTTCAAAGTGAGTTGCATGCCTTACATAATTTTTGAAGGGAAGCCAAAAGCAATAGTAATATTGACATCTCTGAGAAAAATGTTGGTCTCTCTGTGTTAAAAAGAATCTCATAATTGTTTAGTAAAAAAATTTTAATTGCCTCCACTCTTCAGAGCAAGAATTGGAAAACAGGGTTGCAATGCTGCAGACATGTTCTTTGACATCCTTTTTAGCAAAAAGTATCAAACCTAACTTTGGCCAAGTTTTTATATTTTGGATGACATTTACTCAGAGGACACTAGAAGTCTGGCAGCTAAATTCTGCCAAAGTTTAATGTTAACTCAGTATGTTTTGTATCTAAGCTTCAGACTTTCCCCTCTCATCCTTATCAACGACCTGACAGCTATGGCCAGAGCTGCCTAGGAATAAGAAGTGAGCAGATAACTTCTCCTGTGTGTGTCTCTCAGTGCCTTCCATATTGCATCAAGTAGAAAGAAAGAGAAGGAATCCACTTTCATGCGACAAATTGGATTAAACTAAAGGAGGGAATACACAGACACAAAGAAACCGCTAGCAAAGTGCAGAAGAGTGCTCCTAGAAATAACAGCAGACTGGTTTAAAGATCAGAGTAGGTAACCTAGTAGAACAAATGCTAGGTTAAGTATTACTAGGTTAAGGAGAGTGATGCACAAAAAGAGAGACAGGACAGAACTGGTAAGGATAACAAAAAAGGGAGTGTGATGGAGCCTTCTATGTTTTTATGATGCCACGTTCCATATGCTTGATATTCAGATTCCCACTCCTCTGTGGACAGGCAAACAGCTTAGGAACTCACTAGCAACACATATATCTTACACTTGTCAACTGACTGATCTATGGAGGGAATAACCATCTATCATGACTATAAAGTACTTATGCTCAAAGCAGCAATGCATTTCTATTGTAAATCTAAAGAGTTTGAAGCAGATGAATATGCAATTGATAGCATGCAAGAAATTTGTTTGGTTTTTTTTCTTGCTGTTTTTCTCCATTTTGTTATTCTAAAGGTCTAGGATGCTGCATCTAACTGCAAAACTAAAACACTAGAATTATAAACCGTAATGATTCCAAAGTTAGTAGATGACACAGTTACTGCTGTCTGTGCAAACACAGTTCAGCTCATGGTACATTTCTATCATGATACCCCATTCCATTACCCTGTTTTTCTACAGGACATTTTCCTATTCAGTGCACGACTTGAGAAGTGCAGTGGTGATGAATTAGTGCTGTGTAACAAAGAAGCTGTCATCTTTAAGACTCCTACTTAATTTGTTACAGCAACTGGAGCCTATGTAAGGAAGGAGTTAAGGCATGAAAGTAAGAGAGGAGAATAGCATCAAGATTACTATGGCAAAAAGCTAGAGAATTAAGACTTTGTAATTGCTACAGAGATTGCATTATGCTGAGGAAGTCATATAAGTGAATTTTATGAGAGGTCATTTCTTTGCTCTTCATTCTCCAAGTGTTCCACATGAGTCTCACAGCTCTATAATGCCGTGCATTCAGGAAAAAAGACCCATCAAAACACATCCTAGACAGTGATTTTATCAGACAACTAGAGTACGCTGAACAAGACGAACACCTAAATAAGAAAGTGCTTCACTTTTCTCCAATTCTCAAACATTAAAATGGAAATCAAATACCAATTCATTTCACTAGGAATGAGGAAATAAATTCTTGTTTGCAAATCACTAAGAGGTAATCAGGAATACTAGAGAAAAACCAATACAGAAATTAACAAGTCTGTCATCATGCAGGGTTTGAGTAATACAAGAAAGGCAGAATACATGCCAAAACTCCTAAGTCAAGTGAGGATAAAATATTGCAGATTCAGTCAGTACCAGCAGGTTGCCTCTTCCCTCTCTTTAACAGGTTAAACATTAGGCATTAAGTCTTAAGATATTAAGAGCATCCACAGTGAACCATAAAAAAAAGTTCCAAGAAAACTCCACTTGAGATAACTCCTTCTTTACCATGAAGATAGAGGGAGGCTAGACAATTAGGCCTAGCTTTTATATTGGGGAGTGGGAGGATCTCCCCCATTATCTCTGCAGAGCAGTGACTGCAGTTGAAGGCCCAAATACAGTACTGCAAATCCCTAAGTACTATAACTCATGAGAAATCATCATAAGAAGTCATAAAAATGCACTTCAAGAAATATTAACAGAAATGTAATTAAAACTGGATAATCTTTCAGTTCTGTTACTAAGACACTTAAAATTTTCATTCTCTGCAACAAATGCTGAGGAAATAAAATTATTCTCTATGCAGAGTAATCCCAACAGAATCCTCTCCATTAAGTTATTACCTCTGAACCATCAGACCTTGCCAACAGCTGTGTTACTATGAAGAGGTTATTCATTGGCAGCTAAGAGTGTAGCTGGGAACAGTCATTTTTAAAATGTGTTTGCTATCAATGTCAACTGGACATTGGAAGCCTCTCAAAAGCATATTTGGGACAGGGAAATGTGAATACACACTGTAAGGACTATGCATATCTGTCATCATTGGTAAGCGCAGCTCTGACAGACTATGGCCTCTGCTACTCTCGGCTGCTTTCCATTCAGCAAACTAAGAGAAGGTGATAAGGCCTGAAGACAAAAGGAGAAGAGAGCAAAAGAGGAACTGCAGACAGTGTAAGTAGAACTCTAATTAGAGCTGATTTCTTTTTTTAATTGAAAACTGTGTTAACAGCAATCACACACACTATGCTGGCTGCAGGTGAAAGAGATGAAGAGGTCACCCCCCCCGCCCAGTTCACTCCCAGCAGTTGGCACCAGGCTTCTATGTCAGATTTTTACCTGCTCAGATCAGATAAGAAAACTTCCAAAGTAACTGTTTGTTAGTAACTCTTTGGGGTAGTCAAAACTTTCCCATGCAGAAAAAAGACAACTTAGTGACTCTAGATCATTCTGACTTAGAAAATAATTAAACAAGCTGTCAGCTTATGCATCTGAGGAGATATGGATTGTGAGCAGCTGGAGGTCAGTTAGGGCTGGAAACCACTTAAAACAGCTCAGCTGCGGTAAAAAAAAAAAAAAAAGTGTATTTGAGGAGGGAATTAACAGACCCTATCTTTAAATACTGAAACATCATCTTGGAGAATGATGAAAAAACAATTGACAAGGATTTTAGAATTATCTCCTCAAAAATTTGATGCCAAATCAGGAGAATGGTGAGGTTCCTTACATGTGATATATCAAGAGGTTTCCTTAAAAAGTTTACATTGAAGATAAATAGCGGAGCTGAGACACTATTATGTTTGCATAAAGTGAATACATAACTTCCCTGACAGTGGTCTTGTTTGTTTTTTTAACCTGTACTTCCCACATCTCAAAAAAAATCCAATATTAACCTACCGCAGATGTGCAACTTCTCAATTCTTTTATTTTGACTAGGCTCCTTTCTACTTTCTCCTTTTTCACACATATATTATAAAATATGTATTTTGATTTCAGAAGCAATAAACATGTTTCTACCTCCACTGAATTTCAGAAATGGGTATATATGTGTAACACCCACCCTGCTGGATTAAGAGAGAAGTTAAAACATAGCATAAGACTATCCCATCTGAAGTCAAATCAATGAACTTCCAAGACTAACAACACATCTCAGGTATTGATTAGCAACACAAGCTTCAAAATCTAAATACATTTTCATTCCACTCTAATTATACATAAAGATGACCTTATGGAAGCTTTATACTAACCCAGAATAGGTTAGCTAATTTCTCCCTCAACTGTAAATATTTATACTATACAGGAATAACTGAAGACTGTTTCTGAATCTTAACAAGTTCTTTCTTAACAATCTCAGTGGTACAAATTTTAATTACTGGATAAATCTTACCACTTTTTACATTTATTGTCATGGGTTTTTTCATTTTGTTCTCCTGCTACAGCGTATCAAAACATAAATGTTTAGTACTACTCATCTTTATCCCTTTCATCATCCTTTTGTACAATCCTAAATTTCCTAGATCTCTCAAGAGTGTTCAAATATGCAAATAGTTTTTTTTAATTGGCCTCTTTCAGGACATTTACTCATTTCTGCTATAATTATTTTAAGCAAAAAAAAATTATGTATGGTTATCTTGCAAATCAATATGTAACATGGTATAATTATGTCTTTGGTACTATTCTATACCTCTTTAAGTATGGTCCAGCATTACAAGACTTCCATTCTGTCTCTGTAGTGTGGTTCCTCTTCCCTATACAGTTGCAGCAGGCATAAGAAAAACATCCAGCAGAAGCAGTGCCAAAGCTATAAACACTGTTTCCTTCATGGCCTTTGATACAGATAAATATGGGGTGAGGCAGGAAAACATCAAAGAAGTAGCTAGAGCATACTGCACACTAACAACCCCAGGTAGATTACATTTATTTGAGTAACTCTCCAGCTGATCTAAACTGCTCCACAACAGAAGGTCTAAAGTAATCCCTCAATTCTATTAGTTTGAAGAGGAACAAATTGTGCACATTTATGTCCGTAAAATTCTGTTGATCCAGAAGTATTACCACGTGATTTTTGCCAACTATTTTAACAAATATTCCAAAAAAATAATGCTGTTCTGGAGTTGTCATAGCCACATCTAACACTTTTTTAAAGAGAGATATCAGCTTAGTGCTCTGTTTTTGTTTAAAACATTTGATAGTTTATTTCCTCTTTTTGTCCATACCGTACCACAACCATAGCTGTTTTATCAATCAACTGCTTTATCCAATGTCTCCACGTGTTAATTTCAGTACATGAAGAATTAAATTACTCCTACAGTCCTCTCACTGCAAAAGAGCAAGCACATAAACCACCCACATTGTAGTACATACCTTTATTCTATGAAATCGAACAATATCTCCAACTTTGTAAATTTTTGGTAGGGAATCTAGATTTCCATTAAAAAGAGTGCACGTTAACTTCACATTTGATGGATCCACAAGTGTTACAACTGAGCAATAATCTGTAAGATATAAAAGTGAATGAATAATAGGCATTATGGAGTCATTTATACACAGATATTAAACTTGGGATGAAAAACCATATGGCCAATTTTTTTCTGCTATGATGTGTATAACTCTTCCAAAGTCTATTTAGTTACAGCAGCATAACAACTGAAGCGTGGCCCATCTTGCTGATAATTAGCCCAAATAACTGAAAATGAAATGGGTGATTAAGCACAGGTCTGTGTGCCAGGAACACACAAAACTTTTTCTTCCGTCTGCAACAGGCATGCTATTTTTCTCAGGTTTCAGTTACTTCCTCTATAAAATGGGGACCATATGTACAATCCTTTTCTAAGATTTATTTTTGCACTGTCTTCTGAAGAGGTAAAGAGTTTTACAAGTTCTAAAAGGAAATTAAAGCATAAACTACTTATCTTTCACTTCAACACAATATGCAAGATATATACTGCAAGGATACAGTCACACTGTGGTAGTTAGAAAATATAGTAAGAATCTGAAATGTGCCCTTTTGAAGTTAAACATCATTAATGGAATTTTGCTTCTATTAATGACCTAAAAAGTAAATTCAAAACAAGACACAAATATGACAGAGCAAACCAGCCCAGAATAGAGCAGTATTTGCAGATGAAACCTGTGTTTTCCATTTCAGCTTACAGAAGCACGTGTGCTCAGATACCTTACAAATGTAAAAATGGAGTGAGAGTAAACTTGCTCTTTCACAGCATGGTAGCTGGTTAACCTGCCTGACAACTTTTCAAATACCCAATATCAACTTGGTTGTATGTTTAGAACCTCAAACATCCACACATCTTGTCCTAGTTGCTTTCAATCAAGATAGAGGGCTTCTGTTTTCTATACTTATTATGCTAGCATTTACTGACAATTAAAGTTCAAGGCTGAATTACAACTTTTTCAGCAGATCAGTAGAGCAATGACATCATAACCTATGATTTTTACCCTGATGACAACCTTGATAAATTTACGTACACAAAATTTTGGCTTTTAGAAAGAGTTAGCAAGATCATCAAGCAAAAAGCACAATTTTTAGGCATTAAATTAACAGTACTCAATGATTTATAATTTCAAATTTCTAAAGTTTGAACTCTTGCAATGGTGAACTCTCTGTTGGTTTTCCATTTGAGCACACCATTCTTAGATGTCAGAATGAGAAAGCACAAAACCAGTATTGGTAAGAGTAGCAAAAAATTTTAAACCAAATAGTTTTGTACTTTTCCCCACTAGTATAACACTGATTTACTATTTCTCTTAGCATTTTTCTGTACTCTGAAAAGAGTGGATATATCTAAACTGTTTGCAATGTGCACAGTGCTTTCAGACTGGAATCATGAATTAAATGATTCTGCTATTATTCATTCTGACTAAAAAAGTGTAAATCACTAGATCTGAATTACCCAAAATGCTTCAGCAACTCTCCAATCTTCTAATGCCATCGACTTTAACTCACATTTTTGCTTTCACAATCCAATTTTAAGAATGTAAGTTTTCATTGTAAAAGTTATTCACTGCATATAAAATGCAGACATACAGTCTAGAAGCAGGAACAGGTCCTCTATGTACAGAACCCATTTACTCCCGCTATAATCTCACTATTGTGGACCCCCATTTAAACCAAAAGTTCTTTGCCAATTTTTGCATTGCATTTTGGTAACAGCCAACAACAGAATCTCAACTCTGTAAAAAGAGAGCAGTTGTAATTCTTAGAAACAAAGTTGCATGAAGACTTACACCCATTCTCTTGAGGTACCAAGAATGGGGACACTGTTCAAGATATAAAACTCAAAGTAACAAGCAAAGATATGATCATAATTCAGCAGGCATCGAGTCAACAGTAAAGCAGCAAAATTATCAAACAACAAATAAACCTGTTTATTAATTGTATTGCTGATAGTTGAACAAACTACAGAAACTGACTATATAAAACTGAAATGTGAAACAACTGACCAGAACCTTCTTGTTTGACAGTGTGAGCTTTCTCAACCAGTGAAATTAAACACTGGAAGTCTATAAATGACGGTCAAGGTCGAAATGACTGTGGCTTGTGGGTCAGCCCACGCCACAGCAGAAACGCCCACAGAAGGACTAAGGCCCATGGAGGAACCCACATTGGAGCAGAGGACACCACTAAGAAGGAAGGTACAGTGGGGGAAGGAAGGAGAAAACAACAACAACAACAACAACCACCCAGTAAGGAACAAGTAGCAGCAAAAAGAAGCTGCTACCTACTACCTACCCCACTGTCCTGTGCCACCCTTTGCCCCATTAAGAGACGCAGCATAACCTGCAACAATAACAAGGGGAGTGGAGACTAGGAAGGGGGAAGGAGAGGTGTCTGGAGTGAAGCTGAGCCTGGGAAAGGTGAAGAAAAGGTGTTTTCCCTAAGCATTTAAATGTTTCTCTTCTTTGTTTCTCAATACTTGAAACAGTTATTAAATGTTTATGTTAATTGGCAATGAATTAAATTCCCCAAGTCAAATCTGTTTTGCCCATGACAGACAACTTCTCAACTCTCAAAAATAAAACCCCAAACAAAAAAGAAAAAAATCCAAACAAATCAAAAAACCCAAATTCCCTTAGCTATAATTCTACAAGGCAGTTAGTGATAATGACACTAAACCAGAGTTTACATGTCTGGGAACTGAACAAAGGTGTCATAGTGCTAAAATAAAGTCAATAAAATCTCCATCATGCATTTTATAAACATACAGACACATAAATTGTTGCTAGACAGCTTTGAAAGAGAATACTATTGATCTACTAAAACTGACAGATTTGCCTTACATAAAACTACAGGAAGGCAGTCAAAAGAAGACAATCGTCATATGTAAACTCTGTGAACAGATTCCCCCCCAAACATGAAGACAAATACATTAGACTGGATTAAAATCCATGCTTGTACGTGCAACTGCCTATGACCTCAAAAGAAATATTCTGCTCTTTCCAGCAAACACAGCCTTAAATTTAACTATCATTTAAACTTAAAAGTTTAAATTCTTTAACGATTTGAGCGACTGAAGTGTTGAAAAGAAATCCAGTGATGGCTTACCAAGAAAAATAAAACTACTTTTCCTACAGATATAAAAACCTATAGTATTTCTATAAAACCACCACTCTTCTTCCTCCCCAAGATTTTTACACAACCTCAGTAATGATAAATTCTCATCTACTGCACTCAGAAGTTACTAAGCATCATTCTTTTGCACACTCCCACCAAAGGCACAAGGTCAAGTGTCATATAACACCTATTCTGACATTCTATGCTAGGATAAGCAGACGTGAATAAAGTCTAGTCAGTAGCTGACAAAACTGCAAGTATTTACTACTGTAATCCAAAGACGGATTGTTGTATTTCTTTGGGTATGAATTCTAGAGGTTAACTTAACAGCTCAGCTGCAAAGCAATATGAGCAAAATGAGCAATTAAGAGGAAAAAAACATATGGTTCAGAGTTACAATCCTTTCAGGATACAGGATGACATGTTACAGTGCAATGATATAATCCAATATATGAATCAAGAGTCAAATAACAAAAACATTCCACATTAAAATTGTGGTTAATCTTTGAGGCTGTGATTATATAACCTAGTCAGCTTCATGCATGTGCAGCTGCTTATTTAAGGGGGAAAAAGTTAACATACTCCCTCCATTTTCTGTGTAATTAGCATACTCAAAAGACTAATAATCATCCTACTCACAGTAGTATAAAATATTATACTTACTTTATATAGTCGGGGAACACTTTCTACTTAATATAGGTTCTCTGTCTGTGATTTTAGACTTCCATTCTTAACTATCACCTCAGAACATCATTTCTACAAAAAACCTTATTAAAATGGAACTTTTCAAGAACAAAGCATGAAGACTGATTTTCTTTTAAAGAAATCCTCATCCAGCAAGTCCTTTTTGAAAGTAAAAAATAAAAAGCCACCTGTCTTTACTTCTCCAGCTGGAATGTGAAAATTGCTTTCTGCTTTCCATAGCTGCATTATAGTTCAGTGATTGAATCACTTTTCTGTACAAATCACAAGTCAAACTCTAAACAGAATTGCTGAATTTAAATAATGTCGCAGTGTTATAGGAAACAATATAATAAATGTGATTGCTCAAACTTTTGATTCTTCACAATATACTTTCCAATGAAGCAAAATCCCTCAGTTACCAAGCTAAAAAAATTAATGAAAGTTTACATATTGGAGTAAATTTTCCTTTACTAGATAAACTGACTAACTTTTCTTAAAGAAGAGAAATTTTACCACTGGTAATTTTTACTTGTAATACTCTGGATTAAAAATATGACATAATGGATGCACAGTTCAGCAAATTTATATACTATAAAAGAAAGTTTTTAATTACAAACTAGATTGATTCAGTAAAAGCACTGGTTTTAGGCTGATACTACACAGAACTCTGAATTGCACCTTTTTTTTTTTTTAACATATTTTATTATTACTATTATGAAGAGGTATTTCCACTCAGGCTTAACATCATGGGAGGGACCACCAGCAATGGACAGCTATCTGTAAGGATGCTTGTAACACCTCAGAATTGGTGTTCATGAAAACAAGCAGAGAGAAGTGACATCTGGTTTAAATGGAAGTATGGAGTGATGTATGCCTTACATGCTTCTTATATCCTTTCAGACTAGTCCTTACTGTTCTTTACAAATAAAATTACTTTAACTTGTTACTTGTTTTTTTTATTTCATCTCATAAAAACACCACAACTATTTGTTGAAGCAGCTTTTTAGAAAAGAAATTTATGCAACAAAAGGAATTCATTATTATTGCAAGGACTATATTATAATCGGTAAAATTCCAAGTCAAGATCAGTAGAAGGTTACATTAACTACGTGGAGAATGCTGATCTCCAAGATTCTAGGTCCTGACTTTAAATAGTTTGAAATATGAATGTTTTGTAGCCCTGTAACAGTCACTGAAAACCTAAAGTTTCCTCCACTGTGATGACAGCTTAGGTTCATT